TAAAACCTTAATTCGCTCTAAACTTGAATATGCCGCCTCAATCTGGAGCCCTGGTATCACCTTTGCATCTGCCGTAGAATCCATTTAAAACCGCTCCGCCCGTTTTATACTTTCTAACTATCACCGCACGCGGCACAGCTAGCACTACTTTAATGAAAGCATCGCTCTATCCTTGCCCACTCTTTCTCTTCGTCGAAAGAGATCCCGTCTATGCTTGTTCCATAAGATTTATCACTCTAACCCTACTCTCCGCCAACCAATATTTTCTGAACCATTTTACATAACATCACGCAGCGATCATTAATTAAAAGTTGGGATCCCTCAATGCAGCACATGTACCTTTAATTCCTCTTTTTTCTTAATGCCTCGATCGACTGGGACAGCCTTCCCGCAGCCATTGTCACAATCGCTGCCTCAGATAAATTTAAGATTGCCATTACTAACCTTTTACATGATGATTAGTAATAAGTTTGTGTATTGTTTGCCTTTTCATTGATATTTGTTTTGTTCTCCCTAAAGTGCCATTACAAACCTGTTAAATAGTGTTTAGTAGTTATTTTGCGTAGTTTCTGCCTTCTCATTGTTATTTGCTTTGTTTTATTTACGGTGCCCCACTCCTCTCTGTAATGCGTTCGGGCCCTGAGAGACATAATAAATGAAATAAATGACGTCCCGTATGTGAAAAAGGAACTCGTTCCCGTTACAGTTTAGAAAATGGAACGTTTTGTTACATACACGTTTCATCTGTATTTTGCTGATTCCCATATTTAGTTAAATCAAACAAAGTTTCGTTTTCACCTATTCCATCAAATGACAACATACGAGTTCGAATGCCGTGATGGAAGGACACCAGGAGAAGAAAACAAGCGGAAGCAAAGTATCATTTGTTGATATATTCACTTTTGAAAAATCTCAGCGTTTTTCCATATCCATGTTTGTGATGGGCGATGCAGGAGAATCAAGATTAGTGTTACCCCACATTCCACGATCGTTTTACAACATCACAAGTCTCAGTCTAACAAACTCCTTGTTCGAACTTAACAAGAGTTGTGCTGAAAATAGATCAAACCGGTCGAGTACCAGCGAAGAAGTGTTGATCAGCACAATAGCAAGCCTGCACGCGAGATCGGGGCCTGCGATCGTGGACGGCGAGCGTGGAGCTCGTTCACTTTTTTTATTACCATTTTTTTTCATCGCATCGAACGCACGTCGCAATTAAAGCTCTCTAGTTTTGTGAAGCTGCGCTGTTCCTGGGTCTTCATATCAACAATTTGGTGCCGAAACCCGGGAATCAAGGTCCGGGACATCACACAGTACGAGGTGGCATTACCGTGGAAGGACAATATAGGTGTCCTTAAGGACACCTATATAGTCCTTCCACGGTAATGCCACTTCGTACTGTGTTCACAAGCACAAAAATTACCCCGCTTAACGAAGAAAAAGGAACGCCGTTTCTTCTTCCGTTCCCGTAAAAATGTAACGAGTTCCCGTTCCAGTTCCACCGATGCAAAATAGAACGACAGCGTTCCTTCAAAAAGTAACGCGTTCCAGGAACGCCGTTCCGTACAACACTGCTGCAGAGATCGGGTGCTCACTAGCAGCCGTAACTCGTTTGTGCGTGCTTTTTGCGATAAGGTGAGGATTAAGGACGCAGCTCGAAGTGGACACTCAAGAAGGACCACAGAAGAGGAAGACAGATAGATTGTGGCCGCAGCCTGCTGGGATCCTTTTATTACTACCTAGGAGATACGAGAACTTGGTGTGCGGGTTCCCCTGCCTGTCATCAGAGAACGACTTAGTTCACTCGGGCTCCGCAGTAGGATAGCTTGCCAGAGGCAGCTCTTGACCCAGAATCACAAAAGTCTTAAGATGGAGTTTGCCACTAGGCACCTTTCGTGGACAGTCGACGATTGGGTGAATGTCGTGCTCATGAAGGACGTTTTCTAGCAAGTGGGACCAGCAGCGAGGTGTTTGGCGGCTGGTTGCACCCGGGAGGTCACGTGGTTGCCTTTTACGAGAATAAAAAAGCGACACTTTGAATTTTTTGTATATTTTTCATCGCACATCAGACACGAAGAACAGAATGATAGCCATTTTTATGGCAGCTTTACCATTGGTCCTCTTGATTCATTATATTCCCATTCTTGGAAGTTTTATAAATCTGTAGCCGTGAAGTTTACTTTCCAATTCCATCATACTATACAAGATTCTCGAAAAGAAATGTTAAGCTGGTGGATAAAAATCAAGGTCTTTATTCTTTTATTTGTCGCAGGTATGAATCAGACACCTTGACAGAGGCTGTCACTAGCGGCCTCCGTTCTGCTAAAGGGGATACTTCACCGAAATTTAAAAAAATACCCGTCGTGTTCAAAAATGGGTTTAATATGATCCACAATATCCGTAAATGACAATCGCACGTTTGTATTCTGAGCCTGGTGGCTGTATTTTTCGTTATGAACGGCCCACTCTGTCATGCGCTCGGAGGGCAACCAGTGGAAAGCACGTGACATTCCCCGCAATCGTGAAGTCGTTCGTCTTGGGACGAGCAAAGCTACGGCAAAGCTGACGTCGAGAGGATGTCGTAGTCGTTCCAGCCACTGAAGAGGCTGCTTTTTTACGAATTTTGAGTGACGGGTTAATCTATAATCTTGAAGAGGGACAATAGCGACTTCTGGAACACACAAAAGAAATTCTCGGGGGGAGGGGAGTTCATCCTTCCTTTCTTCTCTTGTGATGGCCGGAGGCGAGACAGTCATCATTACTACCTATCTAGGTTCCTAGACGGGCATTACAAACAAGGCGTGAGCGACATCCACCAGGTGCTCTTTGCCAACCGTTTAATTCGTTTTAAGATTCCTTTTCGTGTCTTTTTTAACAGGATATTTGTGTGTCCGGGGTGACGCTGCTTCTTTGAACATATGTAGAACAAAGCATACGCGCCGAAATTTTGTTGTAGTATCCTTTTAACGTGTGGGTATGTAATGACCCACCAAGTCCTTGGGCCGGTGATCCGTATAGTAGGCGGACCTACTACGAAGGACCTTCATTTCCTTCATTTTGGATGGCCCACTGTCGTATGGGTGGTTTATGTTCCAACGTGACAGGAGACACACTCGCACGTCCAGGTGTAATGTATGGTGGCCCATACACCCCACACAGAAAGTATTATACCAAATTTTTGATTATAAAGAAAACCGAATAAAAAAAGGGCGCATAAGTTACGAGGATGCCGTCTTCACAGTGTGTTCGTAGGGTTCGGCGGACATTAGATAAGTAGGTAAGCGTCACAATGTGTTCACATAACTAACCAAAATGTGTTAATTAACCTTTTATTAATACTTTTATGCCTCCTGTTGCAATCGCAATCTTAAAGCGAGTCATTATTGAAGGCTGTTCTAATTGAAACGATTCGCGAAAAGGCAACGGGCTTTAAGATATTCATCGTTATAATTTTGCGTATTCTTTCTTGCCTCAGTTAAAATTTACGCCCTTAAAAGAGCGCAATATGTAGTGCCAATAATATCGCATAGACGACAGTCGATTTGGGCACATTGTCATTATCTCTACAATATGTACTTGATGCATGCGCCTCCGAGATAATGACGACGTGCCCGAAATGACTACGTCGCTGGTCTTCGCGGTATTGACAGCGCTACTTTTTGAGCTTTTTCAAGCCCGCGATTTGTAACTAAGGCTAAAAGACGCAAAATTGCAATTGCAATGTGTCTCGTAAAATCAACAATTAAAACCTAATTCACAAATGTTGGTTAATTAGTCAACATACTTTGACAATTATTCCCTTATATAATGTCTGCAGAGCCCCACAAACACACGGTAAAAACGGCGTCCCAGTAACTCTCGGCCCGTTTTTTTTAAAGATCTCTTTGAATTAAAATGAAACACCCCGTACACAAAATCTTCACGAATGCCATGCAGTGAAGCGGGCGCAATAAACAAAAAAATCAAAATGCACCTTAAAAAAAAAAAAAAAAAAAAAAAAAGATTAATCCCAGTAGCGGTTCAAAGGCCGTCCACGTGTTACGAATGCTTTTCTGAAACTTATTATTGTGGTTCCTAAATTTCATTTTTGGCCTTCACACTTTTCAGTACTTTTTTTCTAGGAAATCCTTCAATAAAATTGTCATTAATTTTTGTTCTTCTTTTTTTAAACGTATGTTTCTTTTAGTTTTTTTAGGAAGGTCATACTATAGGAGGCTTACAAGAAATTTCGATAACTTTTATTGATTGCAACCCCATGACTCATGTTGATACTTTTCAGTGAGTCGTGCAAACATCTTTCCAAAACAAATGATCAATTTTGATTGCAGAAAATATTTTTTAGGGCTGGTGCGATATAAGCTTGAGAAACTGTGCATACATGAGCTTCAATGGCCTCCGAATTCAGCAGACTTTGAAATTGTAGAAAACATGTGGGGCGTGATGAAACAACGACTGGTAAAAAGGCACCTGCATGGAGCGTCACCGGACCTGCTTGGCAGGCTGTGCAATGCGAATGGACATCAAGGCCTCCCTGGTTTCGTGAGCAGCCTCTCTCGGCCTGCGCGCGAATGCAATGTCGTGGAGGCTGGTGGAGCGTTCGTAAGACACAAGTGCAGCTACCTGTCACGGCTTCTGTTTTCTTGACAGTTTCAGTCGTAAATCCACTGAATATTTTTTTTTCTAGTGCACGTGCAGTGGCTATCATTCGATTGTGCTTTTCGTTTTTTTTCGTAATTAAAGAAAAATATAAAGTCTATTTTCTCTGCAACAAATAAACGCGGCACAGTTTAAAAACATCTTGATAACCTGCAAGTTCTTTTACTGTGGCTTGCATTTGCACAGCCGCTGACAAGTTTTGACACTCTATCGCCCAGCAAAGCGTAGGTTTAGGGGAGAACTGTTACAAAGAAAATATCGCCGATGCAAAAGAAGAAGAACAAAGGAGCACGCGTTTGCAAAAACGTTGGAGCATCGCTCGGCTGAAAGGGGAGAGATAAGATAGCTTTTGAAATGCGGGCTTTAGGTTGGGCGGTTTTCTGCTGACCGCCTCTGCGTTGACTCATAGAAGGTGACTGGTACTCGCTATCAGCACGCTCTGGAGCAATGGCACCGCGTGTCAGCACCTAGCGACCACTTAATTTTCGTAGACTGGTGTTTTCGACGAAGTCAATATCACTCTTGCTGTCCTCCTTTCCGCAGCACGGCCGCTTGTGACCACAATCGACACTCGCCAAGTTTCGGTTTGTGCAAGAATCTCTAACTGCAGTTCAAAGAAAAAGCTTGCACCAGAAGTACTCTACAAGCAATCTTGGGTAAGTTACTTTTAAAAAGTAATTCGTTACAGTTACAGTTACTTTAAAAAAAAAGTAGCGAAGTTACCATTACAGTTACCGCAACAAAAGAGTAACTCGTTACAGTTACAATTACTTTTAAAAAGTAACGACGTTACTTTTCAGTTACTTTTCAGGAAAAACTAGAAAACGCCCTTCACCAAGCTTTATTGCATAAAATTAAAAGTACGCTTTTTACTTCATATTGTAACTTAGCAGAAGTTGCTTCTCGAAATTAGCGTTTGAAAGTTTCCACGCGAGAGTAGTGGCGCAAATCAAAATACGAAACATGCGCAGCGCGGAGTACTGGCGCTAATCAAAATACGAAACATGCGCAGTGCCCTCCGCGTGTATTGTTCTTTCACGGTTGATTCACCTCGTTAAAAAGCGTTTTCCCAGAAAAAAGAAAAACCACAACGTAGATAGTGCTTCAAGACACTAAGATGTAAAGGCTCGTTCACACAGACCCGTTTTCTTACTTTACGTTACGAAAAGTCACCGGGAAATATGTGCTTCGTATTAAGCGTGGCGCCCAATTCAACCCGGCACGCGATATTCGGGACAGGAATGTTTCGGTGACGACGACGTAACGTAACGCAACGAATTGAGCTCGGTTCAACTTTTCACACAGCACCGTTTCCTTACGTTACGTCTAAGTCACCGAAACATTCGTGGCTCGAATGTCGCGTGCCAGGCTATCTCCTTGAATTGGGTGCCACGCTTAATACGAAGCACAGATTTCCCGGTGACTTTTCGTAACGTAAAGGAAGAAAACGGGTCTGTGTGAACGAGCCTAAAGTGTTCAGTCACAAAGTACAAGCCCGTGCGGAATGATAACTAGATTTGTTTTTTATGAAATCTACACGTGGCTGTAATCGGGTCGTGACTCGTGAGAAAGAACGTATTCACAAGTTTGTGCAAGGCCAACTGGACACTCGAAATGTCGGAATAGACGATTTGAAAAGCGCAAGAAAAATCTAAATTGTAGTCGTTCAGTGATATGTTATTCGTAAAACACTGGAAAGTAACGAAAAAAGTAACGTCGTTACTTTCATCGTTATCTCAGAAAAAAGTAATAGAACTACAGTTACAAGTTACATTTAAAAAAAGTAACTTGTTACAGCTACAAGTTACCAAAAAGTAACAAAATTACAGTAACGCGTTACTAGCCAAGACTGCCTACAAGCTCTTCAAACGATTCGGATGCACCCAGTGAATGCCTTCTAACTTATCGGCTGCTAAGCACTAAGGATTTCAAAATCACGAACCACTCCACATTGAATCTCAGGAACCCTTGCCTCAATACGCCGCCTCACAGTTTACGGCCTACAATTTAACAATCCTGAACCTCTAACCACAACACATTAATATTAAAAAGTTTATATTCTAGAGCTTTTTATATTGGCACCCAGCTGGTTATTAATTTTCCTTCTCGGAAAAAAATGATAAAGTTTCGTCGTCGACAACAACCTACTAAGGCACGAAATTGCAATTTCCCCGTTTCTCAGCTAGTGTCAAGTGATGGCTGCAGATGGCGAAGCTCGACCTCAGCAAGACAAGCCTCGATCCGTGATCCAGCCTATTACTAGGGTGCCTTCATATGTGCTTTGCAGCGAGCAACGAGGTAGAGGGGCTTAGAGTGATAAACCGGAAGTTTGGAAGTGACACCCCCCAGTTGCCGCCATTTTGTACGCAAAAGTGACCAGTCGTCACGTGACCTGACCGAGCCGTAACGTCACCGGTAAGATGGTAGCGCGCAGAGCTGACGGATGCGAGTTTGTTCGGTGCGCGGTAGCCGTGATGTGCAGCTGCTTCCCGACGACTTCGGTCTTCTTCATGCTCACTGACGCAGGTAAATGTGAAAATATGAAGAAATGAAACTTTATACCCTTTTTGCGCAAGATCGCCCTGGATCATCTGGTTATTAACACCTGTGAGACAGCATCAGCCGTATCGCCGTACCGGTGGACGGACTCCCGGATGTGTTCGAGGATGGATAGAAGTTTGAGTGCTTTTAGCATAAAATTTTCGCATTCTCTTAGTTTTGTTTGAACGTTGGAATATCTGAGAATTGAGACGAAATGCTTGCGTCGGACGCAGGACCTAGGCGAATTTGTTTCAACCCTAGGTGACTGCATAATCACTGCAACTTTTAGTGAGGAAGCTCCTGCGATCTGTACGTTTTGTACTGATCAAGAATTTTACTATATAGTAATATTTCCTTTATTTTTTCCAACAAAAAGTTGAAAGGTGACTAGGGCAAAAAACTGTAAAAACAACTTGACTGGCCCCTAGCCACCCCAAACGAGCAGTCACAAAGCAAGCACCAGAGGAATTATACAATGAAACTTTACAAATTCATAAGCATAAATGAAAAATCATCATAAAAAACAGCGTTTTACAAAGCAATAACACATTGAATTAACACACACACAGTGCATTCTAACTAAGAGCGACACAATGAGCGCTCATTGTTGATAATAAGGTTTGGAATAAAATATTCCCTTAAAATGCTCACCGATGTACTGTTGATATCAATACCTTGCCTAGTCAGCTGATTAAGGATCTTTGGTAAAGTATATGCCATATACTTTACCAAAGATCCGTAATTAGTTCTTGAAAATGGTAGTTCCCAGGGTTTCTTAGTCCGTGTTGGTACGTATATACTTTTTGTTTTAGGTTCGCTAGGTTTTCTAAGTGACGCTAGGGTAGATTTTTTTCCATAATATATCTTGCACATAAACGATGTTTGTTTAGATCAAAAACGTTTATTACACCAAGTTGACCAAAAATATCACTAACTGGATATTCAATGTCAACATTACATATACATCGTAGTAGCTTTTCTGCAACATGTATATATTCTGGAGGTCGGTATAGGTTGTGGTGCCCCATATGAAATGACCATAATTTAAATGTGAATAGAATAATATATTATATAAAACTAACTTTTTTCTGAGAGTTCAGATGTGTTTATTACGATATTCAATACCGACTATACTAGATAACTTAGATATAATAAAATTTATATGGTCATCCCCATGATAGGTTTTCTTGAAAAACGACGCCTAAGGTTTTAAACTTGGGAACAATTTCAATTTGAGTTGAATTTAAAAAAAAATTTTCTTATTAATATTGACAGGCCTATTTTTTGGTCGAAACAAAACTGCCTTCGTTTTATTAGCATTATTCTTAAAGCATTATGTTTACTCCAAATATGAAGCTTTTTCAGTGTTTCATTCGCATCATCTATATCATCCGAGGCGTTATCACCGTTAATAAATAAACTTGCGTCATCAGCATAAATAACAAAATATATGGATGGACTTATATTCAATATGTCATTTATATAAATGTTGAACAAAAACGTTGGAATGTCTGAGAATCGAAGCGAAAGGTATACGTCGCGTTAGGGCCTAGGGGAAGTTGTTTCAGCCCTATGCACCGAATAACCACAGCAAATTTTAGTGAGGAAGCTCCTGCGATCTTCAACCTTTTGGGCTAATCGGCGATTCTACATTCGATCGCAATACTTTTTTTTCATGTGAAAAGCTGGCGTTTGCTTAATTGACGTGCACGCCAACCCTTACAAAGCATTTGAAGCAATCATTCGTAAAAAGCTCATTACTCATGTTCATAGAACAGTTTATTTGTCCCCTTGGAACTCAGAACGCAGCAAGTCTTCACACGTCCCTTAGATATCAGTATTAGTAGGCCCTTTACCTTGTTGAGCGGTATCAATAGTCCACAGTGACCTTCATGTCCGTGATCATACTCCTCTTAGATGGTTGTCTAATTCATTCTAACGTCTAAAATCTTTTAAAAAAATGCAGCCCCACTTTTTAGAGGTCCAGAGATAGAACCACATATCAGCCAGCAATTCGTTTATTAATATTAATGCAACTCGGAAATGGTAGATTACCTGCACATTTTTCTCTTTAGTAGGATTTATTGCAGCAATAATTTTTTTCATCAAGAGTGCATTGTATTAGTCAATCATTTATTTACTTGTTTGGATTGCCTGATCAAGAGAACTCATATTTGCGTCCCTCCCTTGCCCGGAGAGCAGTCTTGTTGAAAATTGCTGACTACCGTTCTTTTCAGTCTCTTCAATAGACTTTTTTTCAAAAGTGTGGGCCGCCTATACTTCCTTTTACCGTAACTTGGTAACAGGAAACCACCACAGCCCCCTCGAGCCAATCAGAGAGACGAGGTGAGGGTGGGTGACAAATCTGTGCAGATGAACACTCTGATGATATGTTGTCATGTGCCTCTCTCCAACGTGTATATTGACTAACCGAGACTGTAGCCTTCGCCGTTTGCCAAATTATGATGAAACGAATTACAGTAGCTACTACACTAATTACTCAAGGCCTTCATACTTTGGGCATTTGTTCGACAATAATGTTATGTCAGCCATCACTGTGAACTCGGCTCAGCGCCTGTTGCACTCGAATGCTGCATTAGCGTTCGACGTGAACCGGAATCCATTTGTGTGCTTTACGCCGAAAAACAAAATGGTGATAGTCGTGTCGCTTGATGGGTCTGTTGTGCCAAAGGGTCTATTGTGTCATACGTATAAGTCTAGGAAGTGTGTTGCTACATAACAATGCATCGACACATACTATCAAACTAGATGCTCAGAGGTGCGTTTGTTTTTGAAATTAAACAGCGAGAATTATTTCTTACGAGTATATATTTATTTTCGGTAGCTGGACCCGTTTTTTGCTCATTAATGTCAGTGTGCTTTGATGTTATGATCATGTGTGTAGTTCTAAGTGTTCTCTCAGCAATGCCTACAGAGGCCCTTGGAGGGAATAAATTAATAACAACAATTTCACATCACTGGAGTTGGTTTTCGGATGCGCCACATGTTCAGGAGAAGTGGAACCAGTGCAGCCCAATGCAACCAGTCTGGTATTTACCATCAATTAATATTGCCGCGCGCGCAGCTGGCCAAGTAGGCAGCGTGCGCGTGGCCT